AATAACCTTGAACAGTTATAAACAGTGGTTTATTTAGAACATGAGTAGTACTCTCTTTAACCCATTAATTTTAAAACATGCAACACCCTGAAAGGAGGAGACTTTAGGGCACCATTTTGACTAACTAGCTGCAGAGATGGACAACCACTAGAAGTGGCTGCACTTTGTATGCAGTGCCTTTTGGAATTACACAAACTTTTTAAAGGTTTCTTAATTTAAATCTCAAAAGTCCTACATTGAAAACTATTTTTTCAGATAATTACTAAATTAAAAGTACACATCAAGAGACACATTGGAGCTAAGCATTCAAGGAAAGCTGAATGCATGTCACTTAAGATTCCTGTATTTGCTTGTACTGTTGTAGAATACTGTAGTTATTAATTTTTAAACATTACTGAATAGGATTGGTAAGTCTCTAAGAAGGATTTTAATACACTTACACCTCACCAGTTTACCTAGAAAAAGTAGGATAACTTTACCAACAACAGCCCATAGTATTTGTTTCCTCAGGTGTTTTAATTTTAGAAAATCTTGAAAAAAACAAATTGTATCATGTATGGAATCAGACCAATACATAATACAGAAGATTATCTTAACTCTTAGAACTAATGAAGCTTTGGAAGTTACTTTGTATTTTTATTTGAAAAAAACACTTCATCCCTGTAAGAAGAATTCCGTTTTCTACAAAATACTAAGTTTGTAAAAAAATAATCCTAAACAACATTTTCTTCTGCTATTATTATCTCCATCTGGATTATACCTTAAAATTAAATCCAGTTTAGAAGAGTATCAAATTCTGAGAGAACACCCTTTCCTCTTTCTCCACCCTAAATCCAGAATTTTGTACTATGGTTGGATACACTGAATTTACTTCGAAATACATAGCTGTAAGTCAAGAAAGATACTCCACAACACTGCTTCTTTCACATTGTCTATACCTATTTTCAACATTAAAATATAAATTATTAAAAAGCTCAAAATTAGGTAAAAATGTAGTGACATGTTAAGCACTTCATACTGATGGACACAGACACAGCATTTGAAGAGTTCTCAATACCATTAACTAGTTTATTTAAGTTAGTTCTGCACATCTACTACCATCTGTCTATCTACCCTGGTACATTAAAACTACCAACATATGGTGAACTGCTATTAATTTATCAAATTTCTATGCATTCCAGGGTAATGTTACTTCAGTCAATAAAAATAATAGATCATTTTAAGAAATATTCATAAGGAACTTTTAAGTCTGAATTCTTACTAACTATAAAAGAGATCTCTAAACCATAAAAAGCAGTTTTGGAAAAATGTTCAATATCATTCCTTTATACAAAATGATTAATTTTTCTTCCTTAATGACCCCTTTTTCTAAGAGTAGTTAATGTGATTTAATTCTCACAACTGTGAGTCACTGGAAAACTTTGAGATTTCTTCCCAAATCTTTAACCACAAGGCTATCCTAGGCAACAAGTTTCTTTGGTCACACTTGCAGAAAGGGTACAGGTCATTTGCAAGCACATGCTATTCAATTCAGAGGGCTATCACAACTCATACTCAACTTCCACAAATTCACAGAAAACATGTGCTGCAATAGTCTACCTCCAAGTTTAGTACCCCATCTTCCCTCTCAAGAACCGCATACCTGTATTCAATTTTCAATCTAGAACTAAATACAAAGACTCCAAAAACAAAGCAAGTGCAAAGGAAACATTGCAACTCCTCATAAAGGTACCAAATTGCCATGTTAAAAGGTGATGGTAATTTTTTTTAATAGGATATACAAAAATAAAATTAAAATACATAGGAGATAATAGGGACAAGCAGAGCATTTCGCATCATCACAGTTAAACATTTACAAGTTAAAAATTCAGAAAAAAACCAGTAACAGCCAGAACCCATGCTAAAAGCAGGCATGCATACACACATGCACACATATACATGACACCAGACCACAGTTAGGATGACTTTTCTTTCTTTAAATAAAGCCAGAGGCAATTCTTCCAAGTGATGTTATAACTACACAGCTAAGGTGTACTTGTACAGAGCCTCTACTTTGGCCAATTGAAACCTACAGTTATTTTTCACTATTTTCAAAACCTTTGGGGATGGTTTAGGAGATTTAGGTGTAGAATAAACTTTTGAACAAACTCACGTGCTCCCAACAAAACTGAATGTATTCAAAGTAAAAATAACGCACTTCACAACTTTCACAAAATGTCTGTGAAATTGCCCTACACACAGGGAATTCATCTCCTCCCACTGAATTCACAGCTAGCAGAACAGCACTAGATCTTAATATGAAACAACCTGAGACTATTTCATTTCTGCAACATACATTCCAAAAAACATTCTCCAAAACACAACATTTTAATTAACACACCAAGAAAACTCCCCTGAAGACCTGCTACACACAAAAGAATTGCTGTGATCCCAACGATTCTGCACATTCCCCCCTGTTACCCTTCCTTAATTTATCAGACTAGGGCCGATTTGATACCTTTCCATTAAAAAAACAAACAACGAACCACCCCTCTGCGAGAGGCAGAGGTGCTGCAGAGGTGATGATAGCCCTAGGAAAAGAGAAGCTGTCTCTTTAAAATGCCCTGCTATGTCCCTGATCCCACGTGGAACCAACATCAGCAGCACTTTCGCATTAACTTCAATGTGAGGCGAGATGAGGCATCATTATTTCATATAAATAAAACGAGGAGACTGCAGAACACATTCTTTGTAGGAGACAAACAGGTGAACTGAACGTGCCAGGGAAATCAGCAACCACCCGCAGAAGAGGTGCCCTGCCCCTGAGCCCTCTCTGCTCTCCCTATGGAGCATTAGCTCAAGCCCACACCACTCTGAAGAATCCAGTTTAAATAGAGGAGTGAGCCACCAAGAAAACTTGAAATTCAAAGGCAACGAAAATGCACTTTATAAACCGGAAAGGTTTACTCTTTGCCTCACACATCCTAATTAGATCAGGAAAGTGACACTACAAAAGCATTACATTCCGGTCCGAAAAAAAAAAAAAAAAAAAAAAGGGAAAGAAAAAGACAGAGGAAAAGAAAGGAGCCCCCATCTCCCCAAATCCCCCAAACATACACCAAAGAAAAGCATTAAAAAAGGAAGTTATAAAGCACCACATACAGCATTTATCTTATCTAGGATCACTCCACATTACCCCCAAGTTATACACTTTCTGCACCATCATCTCCCCCTACCTCTCTGTCCTGAAAGGGATTTTCACGTTTTCTCATTGTCGGTGGCGAGTTATAAGAGGCTTTTGCCTTTCCAAAGAATTCATCAACAAAAAAAAATAATAAATATTAACTCCTTGCTCCCTGAAACCTTAAAACGGTCTCGGGAAGACACGGGTTTTATTCTGTTACCTTGAGGAAGAAAAGGGGGAGCAGCCCCGATTTTTAGGTATTTTTTGGCATTTTTTTCTGATTTTTATTTTGTTATATGCCTCAGTTCTCCCTCCATTTTGGTTGTTTATGATACTGACAACAAGCTGTCCCTGCTCTCTCTCTCTCTCTCTCCGGATCTCTCCTGCTTTCAGTTAGCAAACCCCCCTCCCCAATGCAACACGACTCAGCACTTACTTGGGTTCACACTTTTCTCTAAACACACACCGATGGGGAAGGGAAAAGCTCCTGGGCTACTCGGAGGGGGAGAGCAGGCAAATTCGTTTCTTTATTACGAAAAAAAAAACTTTTGTCCAAAAAACGACGGGAAAGGGGGGTCGAGTGCCCCAAAGTCACTCCGGATCCCCCCAAAGACGCGGCCGCCAGGTCCCGGGGACACCCCACGGGTAGCCGGGTCCACGGGGGAAATTTCTGTGCGAAATTTGTCCGGTTTGAGGCGGTGGGCGAATTTATATTAATTTTTTCCCTCATTTTTCGGCACCGCGGTCTCTAATGTCTTCCGCTCCCTCTCTCGCCGCTCTCGCCGCTGTCACTGCATTCACAGCACAGGCTCCGGAGAGGCGAGGAGGGGAGGGGGCGGCCGCGCCGCTCCTGCCCCTGCCCCTGCCCCGCGGCCCCGGGCCCGGCCCGCCGCGGGGGTCGGCGGCGGGCACCCCGCGCCCTCCTGCCGTCCCCCGGGCAGCCCCGCCGCCTCGCCCGCTCCTCGCGAACCAACAGAGCGCCGCGGGGAGGGAGGGGAGGAGTGGAGGAAACTCCTGAGAGAGGTTTTTCTGAAAAATCATCTCTTTCTCCCTCCGAGGGAGGGGAAGGGGGGTGGGGGGGGGGCACCGCTCGCTTCGCCTCCCCTCCCCTGCTTTTCCCCCCGGGGGGGTCCGACGCGGGGCGGCGGGGGGCTGCGGGAGATGGGGGGAGAGGGATGGAAGGGAGGGATGGTTAACACAAACTTTTCCTCACTGCTCGCTGCTCCTCTCTCCTCTCCCCCCTCCTTCTCCTCCTCCCCCTTCATAATTTAAATAACCCTGATATTTCCCTGCTAAACCCCGGCGCCTGCCCCCCAAACCCGCAGCAGACTCACCGCGGGAGCCTCAGCATCCCCTCTGCGCCCCGTTTCCACCCTTTACAGTGTTCTCCGATTTTTCTGTAATTTTTTCCCCATATTTCGGGCTGGACGCGGCGGGCCTGGAAATTGTTTGCTTTCCCGTCTTTCCAGCAGCCATTGTAGTGTATGCGCTGCGGTGCAGCCCAGCCTGCCGCACACGCCGCGCCCACACCGCCCGCCGCCCACACGCACCGCGGGTTGGACGCCTCCCCCAGTCAGTCAGGGCCGCGGCCGCGCCCCGCCGCCGGCGCCTGCGGACCGCGCCGCCCGCCCCGTTGGTGGAAGGAGGCGCCGCTCACGGCCGGGGCGGGCGCGGCGCCGCCGCCATTGGCGGCCCGGCCGTGCCACTCAGAGCCGCCGGGGCGTGGGCGGCGGCGGCGCGGGGCCGGGGGGAGCCGCGGGGCCGGGAGCGGGGTAGGCTGCGCCCGTACTTAAGCGCGCTGCCCGAGCCGCTGACGTCTTTCGAATTGGAGACGGGCTGCCCCCCTCCCGCCCCGGGCTCCCGCGGACACGGCCGGGGACGGAGGTGAGTGCCGCCGGCGGAGACCCGCGCTGCGCCCGCCCGCCCGCCGCTTCCCCTTCCCGGCCGGCGGAGGGAAGTCTCGCTCGACCTTCGCCGCCCGCGGGCCGGGGCAGCCCTGCTCGGGCCCAGCGGCGCGGCCCGGGCACCGCTCCCTGGCGGCAGGTGGTGCCGAGGGGAGGCGGCGGGAGCGGCCGCGGGGAAAGACCCGGGGCGGGAGAAGGGTCCCCGGGCCCCTCCGGCCGCTCCGCCGCCGGTGGAAGGCAGGCACCGGGCGGGGGCCGCCGGCCTCGCCTCCGCACCTGGACGGCCCCTGGCCCTCCCCGGGAAACGGAGTCGGGCGAGGCGGCAGCTCCGCGGTGCTGAGCGGCAGGGCCCGCCGGCTGCCTCCTCCTGCCTCCGCCGCCCTAGCAGCCCAGAAAGCTGTAGGATTTTTAGTACGACCTTGGCTCCAGGGTTCAAAGTTTTAATTAGCTGGTCTATATTGCAGCATAATTAGCGAATTTGTATCTATATGTGTGCATTTAAAGCAGACCAAACGTTTTTCAATGGGCGGGAGTCTGTAGCAAAGTGCCCCGATGGTTTATGAACTGAAAAAGCCCTAGGGTTAAAGAGTGCCAGCAGCAGCCCTGGTTCTCTGTGGTACGGTTTACAACTGTTAATGTGTTAAAGCATAATTAAGAACTGTAGAATAGACAAGCCTTCGGTTGTGGCTGGGCTCTGACCTGTAATCTGAAAGCAGGAAGGGAAGCCCGTACGTGTGTAAAACCTGGGAGGAGGGGGAAGCTCGCTTCCTGCCCAACTGCTCATTCAGTCACACAGCAGCATTTCGGCGTGACCCGCCTGCCCTTCCAGCTGATAATGTTTCAAGTCTGAAGTACTTCGGCGAGGGGGAAAGAGCAACACGCGCAGGAGCTATCAGACCTTTTGGGCAGTACTAAGAATGTTTAAGCATCTGCCTGCTCTGAGCTCTGCATCTTTGTTAGAACCTGAACTGCTTATTCGTTTAGTAGGTGTTTAATGGATTGTGTGCGTTGTTCCTTGGGCCAGGCACGGTTGCAGACTCTGGTAGTGTAATCAAACTGTAAGTGTCAAGTGCAGTTTATATAAGGAACGCTGATGTTGATGGCACATCCTATGACTCACAAGTGTTCTTTCAGAGAGTAAGTCTGAAGTCAGACTAACACTATACACCTTGAGGCATGTCTGCCTAGGTGGTAGTATCAATGAAATGCAGAGTCATAACACAGACACATGCAAACATCTAAAAATCTCGTATCTTGTTGTGGTGAGTTAAGTGAAGCATTGTGGCATGCTGCTTTTGCTTCCTGCTTCTCCCTTCCCTTCTCCTTTCTTGAAGTCTGTGATGATGCTAGTATACGTGCTTATGTTTCCATTTGAGCTGGAAGTGCCTGATCAAAAATATACTTCCACCCACCAAAAAAGAGAATATTTGCCTAGCTTGTGAAACAAACTTAAGCCGCTGGATAGCTCTCAAAGGAGAGTGAAAGCATTTCCTGATGCTGTTAATTAAAAGGCCCATTTTCAGAAGATGATCATATGGAAAGCAAAGAGTACTCCAAGCACCAGGAAAGTGTACATGCACAGCTTGTAAAACCTAAGGCTTGTTTGGTGGGAATAGTTTACTCTTACTCAAGGGAGAAGCCGCATCTATGAGCTACAAAGAGCAGTATTTTTATTTTGAAAATCTGGTATCAAGCAAAATGGGCTTTTTACTGCATTCTTGCACTTATCACTCCCCAATGTGTACAGAAGCAGGTCTTGGTTATGAATTAGTATGGCTGTTTTTCGAGAAGGTAAAAAACAGCAAGATTAAGCTGTGTCCTTCATTAGCAGTACTTTAAATTTGCTCCCTTTGTCCTGTGTTTCTGATTGCATCGATTCAAACAGTCATCTGGTCAACATTAATTTATTTTTTGTTAGATTTAGTATTTGTTTGGAGCACATACCTGTGTCACTGTATGTGTGCCAGAGGCAATGTATAGGAAGCTGTAAATGGAAAGAGGGTCTGCTGTTCATCTTGATGTCATCGTCTTGGATCAGTGTAGTTTCTTGGCACTGAGCTCTGTGTCTCTCAAGCTTACGGTTCCTAGAGTCAGTGTCAAACTACTAAATGGTGAAAAACGTGATTCGAGCTGTCATACACAGTGTACGTGGGTCTGGTCCCACCTTGCGGTGAAACCAGTTCTTTTTCTAATAAATATTTGATATAGCAACATGGAGATAGTTGGGCATTTGTACCTGGGAAAGCTCAGTGAAGATGCAGATGTGATCCGGCTAAGGAATAGGAACAAATCTGGAAAAGTTTATTTGTACATTCCTCCCACACACTATTAATTGAAGTGTCTACAGTGTGTTGGCTGTGAACAGCTTCTATGGAGCTGTTTCTCCTGCACACGGTCACTTCCTCCATGATACACAGGCTGGTGTGAAGGCTGCTGCAGTGGCTCCATTCTCTGCAGGAATTCATCAGGGAGTGAGCAGTCTTGGTGATGGACTAAACTTGCCAGTGTTGTCTTGCTGTTACTGCTTTTGAAACAACACTTTGCAAAATAAGTTTGTTACTGTGTTACTAGAAGGCATTTATTACATCCTGAAATTCAGACTTAATCCTGAGTTACTGTTAAGTAGATACTTAATCTGTTTATTTTCTCTTTCTAGCCAAGGTACGAGTGTCTGCCTAGAATGTCCAGGCATGCAAAAAAGCTTAGAGATCACGATATAAATCCATGTCTAGCGGTAAGATGATCAGTTTGGAGATATGTCTGTACATTTCAATGTTAAATAATGCCCATTCTAGGGGACTGTTTTGTGGATAGCACACTTGCATTATAGCATTTTGCATTAAGTTTCCTAAGAGTCTGAAGATGGGAAGGGCTGAAAAACATCCATTATATAATAAGCATGAAACAACAAGTAATTCCCTATAAATAGGAGTAAAACAACTGATAGCAGTCTCTTAAATTGTCTGTCCCTAAAACCAGAGCCTGAAATCCTGGTTAGACGAGCTTGGTTATTTTTTAAGTCTTTTGTGAGTTATACCAAGCATCATTGTAAACAAGTCTTTTGTGACTTATACCAAGCATCATTGTAAACAACTCTTTTGTGGACTCTGTACTTACTGTCTGAAGAGTACTATTCTCTGTTATCTCCAAATGAAATCACTATTTGGAAGTTCTGATGATCCTTTGTAATAGGTGTTCCTTTGCTCTCTTTGATAGTGTTCTTTCATCTGAAGAGCTCACTCCTATCTTCATAGATATTCTGGCACTTGTTAAAATATTTAAACAGTGAGTACAGTAACTTCCCTCAGCTCTGAAGTATGTTTTCCCCTATTAAAGGAAACAGATGCCACTACAAAATGTATGAATGACAACAACTATAACAAGGATATGTGTACTGATTATTTTTTGAAGTACAAAAACTGCAGAAAATTCTGGGTAAGCACAGTAAACTTTCTAAATTTTACTCTCTGCTTTGCTTTATGTACATTACTTCTGACATACTACTTTCTGAACCCTTCAAACTCTGCTAATGATGGTTTTATGCTAACTTACCAGCCCAGGTAGTCTCAGTCTTTGTTGCTGCAAGACTTAAGCACATGCACATCAAAGTACTTCACTTGATTGTTCTGAGTTTACTGTGTTAGATTGTGAGTCAGTGTTCTTGCAGTACCTGATGTTTTCCTCTGAACTTGAGTCACGTATTTCTAGTAATAAGTTCTCTTTTGAATGGATACCTCGCCTCAGAACTTTTACACGATAAGGTTATTTGGTTTCCCACTGGCTTGGATCATGTTTACTTTAACCTAATAGAAAGCTTATTAGTTGGTAGAGGAGTATCATGAGAAAGTATGTGCAGTTAAACTGTTTTCTACTTTTTACTTTCCTTATACCATTGTAGTAAAGATATTTTACCTTAGCCTTTAAATACTTGTGTGAACTACAAAAATAACCTATTTACAGATGATTGTGCATTAGTCTGGCATAGAGTAATGGGAATACTGATTGCACTGTATTCTGAGGCAGCAAGGTAAACTATCAGGTATCTTGAACTAATTACTAGTATGTTCAGTTATCAGCTAATCAGGCTTAGACTACCTGGGTCTTGATATATTAAAGAATCTTGTTCATTCAGAGCTCAGGAGCAGAGATTCTGCAAAATCTGTTCTCATGGTCACTTTGTTCTATTTTCAGCATGAAATTATGATGCAAAGGAAGAGAAATGGTGTGAAACCAGAGATGCCTGCAGCAGAAGAAAGAAAAAAAATCTTGGAATCTATGGGGAAGCCCTATTGACTAGAAACCTGAATTGACTGTTGTCACTGTACATATGAAGATTTAGCAGCAGCAAGTTACCATTTTATGAACTGGATTTTACTGTTGCCGTATTTTGGATTAAAATAAGATCTTAAACTTTGAAATGTGTGAGCTTTCTAGGATAGAGCTTCCTGGGTTTATTCATACTTGCTGTCATAGGAACTTGACATCTTTTTATTGGGAGATATGGATATCAATGCAACTTGTTTAGAAACTTTTGGAAGTAGAAATTACCTTGCTGTGAAATGCTAAATATATAATTAATGGGCCTTGCAGAAAGTCTGTTTGAAAAGATGAGGTTGCTGAGCATTGCAGTTCTAAGACTGGAGCAGGTTGAGAAGCTGGTACATGCAACATGTTTCTTGCACTAAGCTGTTCTGCTCAATAGTATGGATTTACCATGTGTGATTTTATCACAATTTTCACATGGGTTGTATTCTGTGTTCCCAGTTTAAATAAGACTGTTCATGAGCTAAAATCCTAAATCCAACAAGCTTGTCATTAGGTCTGCCACCGCACTTGTCAGCGACAGCAGAAGCTTGCAGTAAATCAGATCTGCAAGCTTTGCTAGTTAGAAGGTTAGAGAGACTGGTGAAGATAAAACTGAGCTCCTCAGGTCTGAGCTGAATAGTAATTTCTGTGGATAGTAAATAGATACTTTAGTGGCACGCAGGCAGGGGGGACTTGCAGACGTGTAAACAGATCCTCTGAGTGACATGGCAGGTTTAACTATAGTACATCTATCTAAGACTCTGGACAGCTGAATCCTGGGGTTTGGAAATGCTTACTCATACAAGATTACAAAGCTCAGTTTAAACAGGTACTCTAATCTTAAATGAGCTTGATTCTTTAGCTAAATTGAACAGCTAATAAATGTAAACAAGTTGCTGTCTAGTGGAAATAGTGTTTTTTACCTTTTACCTTCTGGTGTCCTGACTTAAAAGCTCGTATCCTGTGATAAAACAGAAAAACTACTGTCATGAGCTCAGGTTCCATGTGAAATCCTTTAGTTCTTACTGGGATCAACTTGGCAGAACTCTGGCTGACCTCATGAAGGATGGTGTAAAAGTGTTGCCTCTCTATTTAGACTGTTTTGGAAAGACTTCATGGCTTTCTGTTTCTCCTGTCTGGCTTGTCTTGTTTCTTTCCACTGTAGGCCAATTTCTATGCTTGCTGTGATTATGCTCTTTTCTTGTTGTTTGATCTGACTAGTAACTCCACAAAATCTGCTTTGCTCCTCCTTTTTGTTCTCCATCTACATCTGAGTTTTGAAGTGGATTGATCCTACCCTCTCTGTTGGAATGAATTGTAACTCCATGCCTTTTGAGTGTACAATTCTCCAAGCAAAGCTGTGCAGTCTTCAAGCATGTCACAAGTTCTCTTGTCAGTTCCTGGCAAGGAAAATGTACTTTCTTCCATTGAGATCATAAGATTCTTTTTTTCAAATTGCTTTCTCTTCACCAAAAGTGCAAACTTTGACATTTTTCTCTTTTTGTGGTTGTTTTTTTTTGTTTTGGTTTTTTTTTTGTTGTTGTCTTTGGTCGGTTGTTTTGTGTTTTTTGTTGTTGCTTTTGTTCCTCTCTGTGTGGAGCTGAAGATATTTTCATTCTAGATTCAGCTCTTTTCTGCTACATCCTTGCCACTTTTTAATATCCTCCTACATGCCAATCTTTCCTCTTTTTTTTTTTTTTTTTTTCCCCCACTTGGCATCAGTTATTTTTTCACCGATTTTAATATTTTGGTCTCATTGCAGTTTTTTCTAGTACCTTTGTTCTGTCTCTGATCTAATGACATAGTCTTTCAATGACTTTCTAATACAGCTCCTTCTGAAGGTCGTGTGTTCTCTGTTCTCTCTTTCATAGTGAGAGAACTTCTTGCTTTCATTAAACTTAGCCATAATACTTCCTTATTAACCATGTCTCTTTGATCTTCTTGTTTGTCTGCAGATTTTGGGGAGCTATTGTCCTCTTCCTTAGGGCTGTGTCTCTTCAGACTCTTCTGGTTTTGCTGCCTTGCTTGTCTAAGGGCACCTTCTCTCCTACTTGGCACAGGTTTGTCATTTGCCACCTCTGCTGTATCTTTGGACATGTTCTTTGCTCCTATGGCTCTAGCTACTATTCTAGTGCTTGCTGTTTTTCTGTTCCTGTGCCCTTAAATTCTGGGCTTATGTTAAAGTCTACAGTATCTTTTAAATATATGCAAGAAAAATATCATCTCGTTCTTGATGTGGTTATGCCGATTCTTCTTTCCATAACTTTAAGGAACTTGAGCTTATCTCATTTAACCTAAGAGAAAGAGCATTTCTACATGCAAAGAAAACCTGAAAGGAAATCTCAGGATAAGTGTTGCACTTAAAAGTTGTTGTTTTTTTTTTTTTTTTCCTGACAATATTTACTTGGGAAGCTTCCACTAGCATTGTTTTCTTTTAAAGGATGGCTGACCTATGTTTTGGCATTGATAGGTACCCTGTGCTACTTTGTAAAGTGTTTGTGAAGAACTAGTACTGGTCTGCAAAAAATCAGAACTAGGGATGCATTACTTCTTTTAAGTATCAGTGCAGGAATGTGGGATCATGGGATGGGTTGAGGCATGTGTAATGCAGGAACAGTAGTCTAACATTAGACTTCTGATCATCAGTGGATGCACATGGTAAGCTCCCTGTGGATGTTACAACAAAAATGAGTTCAGAACTGAGGGCAATTTAAGGAGTGACCTTGTAGATGTAATTCAGGTAAACAGTCATCTCTTGTAGGAAATGCCATTTATTTCCATTGCATATGCCTTACTGTTAAATAACACAAGTTTATGAAAAATCTTGGGAGAGCAAGGAGCTTTCTTCCTCATGTTGTAATGTCTCTCAAGAGTGATCTCTTACTGGAGTATGAGTTTTTATTATTTTTATCCCTCACCTGAGGTTGCTGTTCTTGCTTTCACTACTGAAGCTTGAGTGGTAAAGTGTGATAGCTAAAATATAGGCTCTTACGAGTTGAGATTTTTCCATTAATTTTTGTAGTGTGATTAACTACCTTTGGTCGTGAGCCAAAGATAATGGTCTTTTCCTCATACCTGAGAGCTTACATTCCACACTTCACTGAAACAGTGGTAAGCTTCAGCCTGCCTTTCTTACTCGACAGAAAAAACCTGGGCTGAATTCTTAAATTCCCTAAAGCACACTCTCGTATATTAACCCAAAAAGCATAACACAGTGGATCAATATAATTAATTAAGAAGCAGGCAAGGGACCTGTAGGTTGGCTTTTGTTTTAGGTTTGTGTTTGTTTGTTTTTTTTTAAATACGTGTAGTTACTTATTTTGCTTGTGATATAAGGACCAAATCTGGATAGTGGCATTAATGTTTGATAATTTTTTTGTTTGACAGCTGGATGGTGCTGTTGTACAACAGACTGAAAACAGCAACACTTCACCCACTACTGGCTCTTTCAAGCTTTTTTGATCTCTTCCCATAGAGGTAGCAGAATTCACCCAATAGAAAGGAAAGATTGGTCCTGTCTCTACACTATAAACAAAAGGAGGACAGGAGTCTAAATCATTGCTGGGAAATAGGAGATTTCTGTGCAGCCTGAGAAGCCTTGGACATCTGGTCCTTGATAGATTTTTTTTTTTTTTTTTTTCCAGTGTGGTTATTTGATCACAACTAGGCACTGAGCAGCAGCTGCAGGCTTTCTCCCAGGTCTAGGTGAATATCCTGATTCTCATTTGTACATTTCTGCCATCTCTTTTTTTTTTCTGTTACCCTACAGTGCAAGGACTTGTCTTGCTCAGAGTTTGCTGCTGTCACAATTAGGATGAATCTGTGCTCTTGAAGATGTTCAAAGGAAGGTAGCAGAATTGCAGAGTATGCTGGTTTAGAAGGGACCCACAAGGATCTTTGAGTCCAAGTAGTCTAGCTCTAGAGTCCTGAAAATTTCTCTGGGTTTAGCTGAAGCTTTTGAAAGGCAGGGAGTTGCTTCTGCTGCTCTGAGTTTCTTCTATAGTCTTGTAATGAACTTTTGCACTCAAGTGATCAAGAATGTGTTTATAGATGAGCTTTTGGTAAAATTTTGCAGAACAGATAAGATGAATCTAGAGTACAAAATGTTATGCTGCATTTGGAGACAGCCCTTAACTAATGTTAAAAATATCTACATCTTTAAAGTTGGTCTTCCAAAACAGCCATGAAAGAAGTAATTATTGTGTGGAAAAGAAGTACACCATTGCAGGCTTTTGTTTTCTTGGAAGAATCTGAGGCAACTGGAATAAATAGTTCTGTAAGTATTAAAGTAGTGAAAAGTAAATAAGCAGACTACTTCAGAATGTTTTCATTTTTATTGCAGCCTATTTGATATGGAGGGAAGTACTGCATTTATATTAACTAAATGCAGTAGATCATTTAAACTTAGTTTTATGGTATGTATGATACCATATGTAGTAACTAAATCATCAGACGTTTTTTCTATTTTTTTCTCTATCCTTTAGGTTTCTACCTTGACTCCTATCTCAAAATCCTTTTTGGGAAGAATGGTTCTGAAAGTCCTCAATTATTACTTGCTCTTACAAGTTCCACTACCCTTGAGCAATGTCTTACCTATTTTACTTCAATAAACTGCTACGCACTGCAAACACTTCCTGATATCAAGTGACTGCAGAACACAACAGAATTCTGCATAGAACAAAAGTGAGCAAGTATCTGCCAAAATGGAAAACAATTGTAACAAGGTGACATGTAATGACAAAAAAAATTATGCTCAAGATTGTGTATTCAGTCAATACCTCATGTCTAAAAGCAATTCACATCTCTAAAATTTACACTAATAGAAATAGGGGCCATCAGCTCAAGCCTGACTTTGAAGAATCTAAACGTTTTTAATTGATGCTGAAAGATTCCAATTGTTTAGCAAAAAAAAGATTTTGCAGTGTTTTTATGGAAATAGCCTGCTGGTAATATTTTGTTACTGGGTCACATGTGCATCTCAAATTTTTGTTTCAGTGAAACGTGGATCCCTGAGCAGTACTTGTCTGCAGAGTTGCATGCAGCTGTTGAAGAGATCAGTGAATGTGGTTGCATATTACAAGTAGGGTGGTGTTTTCTCCTATTTTTATTAAAT